ATTTCGTCTCTCCTTTTTAGAATTTAAGAATTTTACTAGATATGAAACAATGTAATTCAGAATGTACACAGAAAATTATTGACAAACTGTCGATGAATTATTGATAAACCTTACTGAAAGCGATCAAGAATCGCTGTCAGAGTTATCGGAGAATAAAATGTTCCCCACATTTCATTCTGAAGTTTGATACCGTTTCTTACAGGATAGTTTATTCGTGGCTAGTGTGACAGATTTTCGACCACGCCCTGCCGATATGGTACCCCCTTGCCTAGCTACCCTTGAATCCACACATCGAAAATTTACCGGCTTTGATCCGTACGCAATGACTTTTCCAGCACCGCATGTTTCCGTCGGCGTTTTCTTTTATTAAATACCTTTAATAAAAGAGCCCGAACCTAAACATAATGTATCATTAGTTAGAAGAAATATTACCACACATTACATACGTAATTGCGAAAGTTATTGTATAATATAAATGAAAAAATTGAAAAGTGCAGTATCTATTAAAATAAGTTCTCAAAACTTTAAAATTAATTATTAAACTTCATTATCATCTCTTAACATTATTATTGTTAAATAATTGTTGAAAATTACATTATTATTATGTTCTATATACTCGTTTTAAAATTAAAAATTAAATAAAATTTGTAGAATATCCTTTAAACAAATTAAAGAAATAAACACAAATGCATTTTTATATTTTCAAATAAGTATTGAAACTAATGTAATCTCGATAAGTTTAGATTCCGAGGCAAAAAATTGATAGAAAAGAATATTCTCTGAGTTTATACGCGACGATGCAAATTGAACTCATCACAGTAGTTTTAATTTTATTTAATATTGCAATTTTTATAGTTGTATTTATTTGTGTTAAGTATATTTTTTCGGTTCTAAGTTTTATCTAATCACTTTACTATATAGACGTAGCCGTAAAATAAAACATTAAAAAGTATTTCTAAATGTCACTTTTAAGTGAAGATTTTTAGAGGATTTGGTCCAGTTCTTTTTCCATGTTTTTTTTCCAAATCGCGAAGTGGTTGTTTATCTTGTTTTGACCATGCTGCGCAATGTCGGTGGCCCAGTTTCCGGGAAGCTAGCAAATTGACTTTTACCAGTTCAATGAAAACGGCAGCCGGGCCTTTGAAAGCGCTTCTCACAACTTCTGAGACGCCAACGCTCTCGAATGAGCTCTCAAAACTTTACATTTCTTCCTCGTGTTCCCTTTTCACCGTTCGATCTCGCGGTGCGGAGCTCATCGATCTCCCTCGGCGCGGTCGAGGAAATCCTCTCGTTCTCTCTTGATCTCCCGTCTCGTCGCGCCGAGGGACACTTCGAAGAGGTCGCAAGGACGAAGGACTCGTGGAAAATCGAAGAGCAAGAAGATGAGGGTTCTGCGTTTGACGCGAGCGCGCATATTCCGTCGCGCTCGCGAGAAAAGAAAATGCGCGCTGTAAAGAAAGGTAAGAGAAAAGGGAGAGAAAAAAGGCGAGCAAGAGAGGAAAAAAAAAGAAAGAAAAAAATAAAACAGACGAGAGTGGAGGAAAGCAGAAACGCACAAAGGCGCGCGCGAGAGACGGTGGGGGACTTAAAAATGATATCCACCATGAGACAAAGTGGAGGTAGCTCCGGCGCAAAGAAAGCCAGAAATGAAAATGGAAATGCCGACAGCTATGACGATGCAAATCGCGAAGGGACGCCGCGCCGGAACGAGAATGAGAACGTGGCGAACGCGCAAGCAGAATAGATGATCCATGCTGCTCAGCATAATTGGCGCCCCTAAGAGTTATTTTACGGATATTCTCTTATTAACAGCCAGTTTCCTGCTAGAAAGGATGCAATTAAATTAAAGTTTGACCTTATGAGAAAAAATAATAATAGGTAATAGGATTGTATTGATGTCCCATATAAGTTTCATAAACTATCGTGTTAAAAGTATCATTAATACAAAACTGTCTCATTGCGAGTCTAAGATACCCAAAGATACATAAGAATGATAGAAAAAAATGACAATTTTTGTCTTTTTAAATAAATAAAAATAAATTTGTTATCGATAGAATCCAGAAGGATTTAAAAAATTGAATTAGCAACTCTGTAGAGGTACAAAACTAAAACTGCCAAAACTACGCGAGTTTGAGAGATCTCGACAAAATCTCGAAAAAGGGAGGAAATCAAGAAACGCAATCTACCGCGGCTCGACGCAAAAAAAAAAAAAAAAAATATGAAAAAAAAAGACGGAACGTGCGGCGGTGTAAAAGGGTCGGGAGGCGGAAGATAGAGAGCGGAGCCCGAGTCTCCAAATTACAAATCCTCCGAAAAAGCCGGGCGCGAGATACACAAAGACATTTAGCGCCGGGCCGAATGCATCTCACGGCGCAAACGATGCGCCACCGCCGCGCGCGGCGCGGCTATATACGTGCGGCACGCAGGTGGGTCACAAGCGTGGGTGTACATTACAATCAAATCCCCGAAAAAGGGGGAAAAAGAATTAAAAAAGCTATCTGCCGCGAGATAATAAAAACGAAGACGAGAGCAACGTGCACGCGAGCGCTCGCGAGCGCGCGGAGGAAAAGGGGCATTGCGAAGAGAGAAAAAGGTAGAAAGAGAGGAAGAGAATGGAACAGCGCTTGATAGAACGAGAGAGAAGAGAGAAGAGAAAGAGAGATAGAAGCAAAGGTAGAGATGAGATGAGAGAGACGGATGGAGAATCGAGGGTGGGAAGGACGACGATGACGAGGATAGGGGATGGAGAGGTCGAGAGCAGGATCTCCTACGCCATATCCCTCCCAGCGCGCGTATTGGTGACTGGGATGAAGCGTGTGCGTGGTCGGAAAAGCGCTACACGCTGGTAGCCCCGGAAAGAAAATCGCTCGCAGGCTATTTTCTGGAGGAATTTTTATTGGTACGCGCGCCATGTTGGCGACGGCGGTGGGGTCGCCGCGGGCATCCCGACGACCCTCGCGATTGGCCGTCGCCCAGGCGACGTACCCCTCCGTTGGGCCAATCCAACGCGTCCGCCAAGCTCTTCGCACCCTCGCGTCGTCGGGGGTAGCGGTGGTGACGGCGACGGCGCGCGGGGACAGAGATGGGGGTGTCGGGGGTGCGGGTAGTAGCGACCGGTTACGAGCAACAAACCCCTACCACGAGCGACGACGACGGCCGAGAGGCAGGCAAGCAACCCCCTTGTACGCGTACTCTGCTCACTCACCCCCGCGCGGAGTCACCGGGATAACTGCATTTCGCGGACAGAATCCCACAAGAACTCACGGCGAGCGGTCGCCCCCTCTGATTCGCTCTCCGCTCTTGTCGTCTCCGGGTTTTCCCACCGCGTTGTCCTTCGTAGAAAGGAAGGAAAGAAGGAAGGAAGGAAGGACGGAAGGGCGCGTCGTGCACGTCGTCTTCGTCGACCTCGTCGTCGCCGTCGGCGTTGTCATCGTCCTCGTCGCCGTTGTCGTCGTTGTCGTCGTCGTCCGGTGCGCGCCATTTCCTCATACCGAACTATTTCTCGCCAATTACTTCGATATTCGAATTTTCAAGGCCAGCTGATCGCGGACGCGCGTCGACAAAACGAACCCTGCCCCCTCTCACGGGGGTCCCCGCGTACCCTTCTAATTGGATCGACGAGATAATCAGATTTAAATCGCGACCGAATTCCAGATTTGCGTCGATCACTTGCAGCGACTCGCGTATTCTCTGCGACATACTAATCCTGAAGTTAGTATCGTGAATTTGTTGCAATTATTCACGTGTTACATCCGAGAAGCAATACGAAAGGACTTTCAAATAACGAAGAATCAACGAAGATAAAATTGGAGGAAGAAGAGCATGTGTTTAGGATTTTACACGTGTATCTTCTAATTGGATTTCTTAACCGAAGAAACTGACACAGACATCTTTTAAAGGACATCACGAAAAGAAGACTCGCATTCAAGTGAAGACTCAAGAAACGCGTGTCTACGTTCGTCGAGAGTGAACTGCAGTTATTTAAAAAGCACATAGTTAAAGTATATTATAGACTAATTATTCCTTGTTAGTAAATAATTTCCGACGTAGATGTCCATTCTGTTAAATGCGAAATGGACCGTCAGTTGGATTTGGATTAAATTGTTACTAACAGATAAGAATAATTGTTGTGAGAATCCATTGCTGCCTGTAAATTTTTACGAAGATTAATTGTACGTGTCGAAATTTATTTAATATTGATTATTAAATTTCTAAGAGAAAATATTATTTCTGATAATCAGAAAATTATTTCTGATAAAAAAAAGTAACAGTAAATCGATAATATTTTTTCATAAAAATTCCAAAGATAAAAGGTTGCCTATCACATGCGATAATATTCAAAACAAATGCTTTACCAAGACTTTACGATAGTGGTAATGCAAGTGTACGACGCACAAGTGTTTTGAAAAGAATGATAAAAAAAGGAAAGAACGAAATATTTAGAATCGTCCAACTGGACTGTTCATAAGAGTAATACAACAGCGGAAACAAGATCTATTCTTCTTTCTAACAAATCATTCTAATTAGCAGGTGAACTGTTTTTTAAAAAAATTGTTTTAAAGAATTTAAAAGGTGAACGGCAAGAAACATTTTTCACGACTCACGGCCTAGTCCTTCGTTAAAGTCACCATCACCACAGAAAATAACGAACCTCTAGGATAACAGTCGAGGTTTTCTCGATATTTCCTCAACGTTTTTCGACGCTTTTTCGGTGCGTCGGTGTTCATCGGGAGAGAATAACACAGTGCGTATCCGCAGGGCGGACGCGGCGCGCCCTCATCGCAGACTCGCGTCGGAAGATGTCTTCGTAGGTAGTCGAGTGCTCGCTCAGGTGTTTCCAGCTACGCGCTACCTCGACCAGGTCACCCCGGCATCACCCTGGCTAACGACCTGTCCGGAGGTACCGGGGGTCCCGGTGCGGGCGGCGTCGGTTCCGTCGGTGGTACCTCCGTCGGCGGCGGCGGCGGCGGCGGCGGCGGTGGTGGCGGCAGCGGTTAGCCTCGATCACCAGCAATTCAACATATTCCCAGCGATCTTCAGCCGTCAGCTCAACTTCTCCGCGGCGGCGGCTGCCAATTGCGGCCAGAACAAGCTGATGGATGAGCTCAGGCCGAATTTGGGTCTGCTTGGTGTCGGTCTGGTTGAGAACGACAGCTTCCATCTGAATCACAATCAGGAGAAGAGGAAGTGCAGTAGCGCCAGTTCGAATGAGCAGGACTTCGGTCTGTACGGGGTGCATCAGGGTCTCGAGGCGAGTCCGCCGACGCCCGCCGCGACGCCCGGTAGAAGCAGCGTCGGGGCTACCACCACCGTCGGTGAGTATCGCAGATTATTTTGCTGAGAAAGTAGAAACAGTTAAAATCTGCATCTTGCGTTATTGTTGTTTAAGCGGAAGTAGACCAGCAAGTAATACGTTTATAGTTTTATCTTAACGCACTTCAGATTTAAAATGTTGATTCTGAGCAATATTTCTTCTATTGTTAACTCCAAAGCTGCATTAGAAATTTTAGTAACTTCCTTTCATACAACTCATATTTTATAAACAATATTCAGTGAAATATAAACCGAGAAGCGTTTAAACGTAAATAGGAAAAAAGAATATTTCACATTTTCGATCAAAGCAGGTTGTGGTGCTTAAATATTCATATATGAATACACAAATGCAATTATCAGCTTATAAGATTATGCATCGATTTAGTTAGATTTTATTCATATTTTATATCATTAGTTATTAAAATAACTTGTTGTTAACATAAGTGAAATTGTATTGAAACAATATTCAAGCAATATATTTAACTGACTGAATCATACGATAAGATAGTCCATAAATAATCTTATTTATGTCTTCAATAATCAAAGTCGTAAAAATTAAAATTACTTATTGACTCATCCACGTAACAATGCATTATAATAGAAAGAAGTAAATTGTTTCAACATATAAATGACGATTTTCTAAAAAAGTGCGATAAAATTAATCTAGGGTCATCTAATTCGACATGTTTTCTTTAACTTTTAAGGTATCGAGCTTTTACACTATCGTTAGGAAAGAAATGGGCATCGTGTCATCTCGAGATAGACGTATTTTCCGCTTGTTGAGCCTCGAGCCCGCGTTCATAGTGCAACACGACCAGCTCGAAGTGTTGACAATGGGTCGGGTGGACCAGACATATGGTGGTACCTGTTCTATGGACTATTATTATGTGCTAGTGGGGCTTAAGGGAGCTTAGCACTGAGGGTGTCGTTAATAGGGTGGGCTCGAAACGTTGCTTGAACGCATGACGAGTCTCGCACCCCGTTTCGACGATTCGAAAGACTCGTCGAATCGGGATCGAATGAAAGGGCTCATCTCTAATTTCCTACCGTTTCTGCTGATTAACGAGTTGTAATACTCATATTTCATAATGTGCGCATGTTGATGTTATGTTCAAAACGTCAACTTGCACTTGTTAAATATGAAGTAGAATTATCGCATCTCACACAAAGCAAATGATATAGACCGGTATTCATAATTCGTTTTTATTTTAAGATCGTCTTAAGTAAATCTTAAACTAATATGTCTTACTAATATATCTCTGTGATTGTCTTGTGACATTTTAAGACTATAAGGCCGATTTTAAACATAAGAATGATTACCGATTGTAGTGCAGTTGTCTTCTATACTGTAATCATAATTATTCTCGATTTTAATTAATTAGATCACTTTATTATTAAGTTCCTCTTGTTAATTAATAAACAAGCGAGTCAAAATAAGTACATTAAATTTATAAAAAAATTAGATGTTTTCTATGAGACTCTCTCTCTTTCTCTTATATTTTTATTGACTGTCAAAATTGCTATTTAAATTATAATCATTCATTTGCGATGAAATTAATTAATATATGCACGTGTAATAAATTCTTAACGCATATCTTCATTTCTGCAAAGGTTATGGCATTCGATAAATACGGAGTTCAACAGGTCGGTCGCAACAGCAATCGTTAGGGTTTTTTCGGCCTTATTATATCTGAAAATGAATTTTCGCGCGATGGTACCCCAATCCGCAAACGGCGATATCCTACGCTCCGTCGCACCCTTCAAGGTCAGGGTTCCCGGAAACGAAATGAGACTACCGCGGGATTCTCATGCAAATGAAAATCCGACAGCCGCTTCGCGACGAGAGGAAAAAGAGATAGCGGAATAAAACGAGGACAGAGCGGTGGTGGAGGGAAAAATTAATGTCGTTAACCCCCTTGCGCGTTCTCCTGGGTATTAAAAGTACTCGAGCGACGGTCTTCTGGCGCGCGTTTCCCGTGTCCTCCTTAAAACAGGAGCGTTCACTTCTTGTTGACTGACCCGTAACGTTGGCCTGCAACTTCAACTTAGAAAAAATAGATTCGTTTTGTGTTGCGTTCGATTCTTTTCCTTATGCTAACAACACTGTAATCTACATAATAATTTCTAATTGCCGCACGAAAACAAAATTTTATTTTTAAATCTGATCAAAATTCTTAGAGGAATGATAATTGTTATCATTTGCAGCTATTTTTTAACTTTTAAAGTTTAATATCTTGATAACTAAATTTGAAATTTAAACTGTAAAGTATTAGAAATTAAATGAAGTTTTTTTACTTATTTGTCCTCTTTTTCAAAGCTTAAAGAATTTTTCACGGAAAGAAATTCTTGCCGTTTATAACTCGAACTTTAAATATCTCGCCATTTGCATGAGTTAATTCCAAGACACTTTGTGCAAAAATAGTATTGTATATATTTAAAATATTTTAATCTTTCTCTCATACATGTAATGATGTACAAAATTTAAGAATACTCTGAAAATGTAACTTTGAATATTTCAAAGAAGACTATCGTCACTTGTTAATATATATTTGTTGTTAAATATTTTATAATTATGTATCGGATTAAAGAATTGTGTCGCGAATAATTAAAATTTGTATGTTTTTTGCGAGTAAATAATATGCAAATCGAGTAAATTGGTCATGTATCTTGTTCATCAGATTGTAAATGTTAAACTTTTAATGTATACACATTTGCGAGTAACAAATGGAGAAACTAAGATATTTCCAAATAAATTTGCACAGCACGAGAATTTCTCAATGACGCTGATAAAGATCTAAATTAATCTAAATAAAATCCGCAGTTTATCGCGAAAAGAAATATATCAGTAACATGCGCGTGTAAATGTGTATATGTTATATTCAATTATAAAATCAATATATATATATATATAAAATAAAAATATAATCAATATATATATATATATATATATATATATATGTGTGTATTAAATAAATTTTGGAAACGCTCATATCACTTTTGGTCGATAATGCATTCTAATGTGACAGCAGATGCCGACGGATGGCAGCTGTAGGTTGGAGGCTACCGCGGTCCGCATTACCAGTAATCCTGTAAAACGTGTCGTTCGTCGCGCGTGTCAGATCTCACCGCATTAAAATCACCGCTAATTACCCTCGGTTCCCCTGACCGTCTCCAAAATTTGCGGAGGCAGATGTTTGCCGCGCCGCGCCATCCAAATGCACCCTCACATCACGCTTCTTTTTCGACGGGCCTTTCTCGAGTGCTGCTCGTTGAAACTGTCGGTGAACAGCTTGTAACTCTGTCCTTAACAAAGGGTTAATTCGGTTGCGAATGGCCGAACGATTCGTGCTGTTTCGCTGACATTTTATTGTCTCTACCTCTACTTTGCCCATCTCTTCCCGATTAAGAGTTTGTTCTGCGAGAAATCATATTGCAATTTTTGAAACATGCTGAGCATATTGAGCATATTCCTTATTTATATATCTTAATTATTCGAATAAGTTAAAATGAAGGAAGAGAATTAATTGCAAATTGTTGTAGAAATAAAGAAAGTGATTTGTTATGGAAATCTAGAATGTATTAGATCTTTGATAAAATTAAAGATGTTAGATTTTTTTAACTAACTTTAACTTGTACTTATAAATTTTATTAAGATTTATAAAAACTCAAATTAAAAATTTTTATTTTAAAGTATGATATACATCAAAATAAAAACTATCGTTATTTTTATTTCTCCTTTTATTTAAAGAAAATTCTGATTTCTTTTTCATAAATAATATTTTTAATTTAAATATAAATTTTCACATTTTTGTAAAAGTTAATTATCACTTATTAAATATCAATAACGTTCATAAAGTGCAAAGCAAATATAAAAAGATTCGCTTTCTCTAAATTTTTAGGAGAAACTGCAGGAAAATCTTTTATATATATATATAATACATATAAAATAATCTTCCTAAAACTATCATTTATGATACATACAAAATGCTATTTTATATCAAGCTCTAATTATATTTTATTCAATATTAATATCACAACGAGAAATAACTATTATGTTTTTCACGGTAACAGTAATCTCGTGATTGTAATAATATCTATTGTCCTTTTGATAAACGTTTATATTTCGTTTTTATAGCATACTCGTTTTAACAAACATAGTTTGCAAGGGTATGATTTTTGAGCAGATTTTTACGTCAAAGACGCAAAACTGACAACCGAAAATTGCCTATTTTCTGCAATCGCGAAAACTCCATAATTGCATAAAAACGGATTCGCATCCGTATATATTGAAACAGCAATACGCAAATATATTTCACGAATCTAAATTTACGGTCCAATAATGAACTATTTGATTCTTTATATTAAATTGACAAAATCAATATTTATGAGATCGTATCGATAATAGTTGAAGAACGTTTGTATTTTATATTATTTGTTAAATATATTATTTATTAAAGTATTTTATATTATATTACGGGAGATATGCAAAAGAATAGGGAGAGAGAAACATCATTGCCCTAAAGGTCGATACCCCATTGTCACACACCGTGGATTAATGGGAAAAATTAATTTCGACATCATAAAGATCGCGAAAAACACTTTTTTACCGATACCTTTTATGAGACATTAATTTTATTTCGTATCATTTATGAAAATCTCGTTTCAATCTGTACCCGTGCGAAAAAATTAGGATGAGCTTTTGATTGCGTTAAAACGGGATATAATTTTAATGGAACAAAGTAATTCCAGTTCGCGTTATCATAACTTTCAGAATTTAATTACGTATTATGTATCGAATACTTAGTAAAGTTCGTCTCTTATTATTCTTATTTTTTATTTTTTTTTTTATTTTCTTGCATTGTGTCGAATAAAGCTGGAAAAAAGTTTTCAAGATTCTGTTTTTCATCTATTATATTGCAAAATATATTATATAAAAAATCCGATATATTTTCAAGGTTATATTGATAATATTGATACTTAAAGTAGCTCTAAAAAGTTAAACATCTTAGAGCAATCCTTGACTAAAAAAAAAAAAAAAAAAAAAATAGCACAAATAACAAGAAAAAAACCGTCGTGCGCAATATCGTAACGGGGGGATAGCCGAAGAAGCGGGTCGCACGGGGCCCTTCGCCTTCTTCGCTGAACTTGACCGAGTTTCCCCGTTCATCGGGTAACCGGGCAAGGTATGTAAAGTGGACAGCATTCATCCTTGAACATTGAATCAGCATGTAACATGATTAGGTCATTAACGCCCTAACCAAGTTAGCATAGTGCGAGGGACTTCGCTCGCCACGCTTACCCCGGGTCGGTGCGACCTGGTAGGTATCTACGTTCGTTCATAAAGCCGGCGCCGCGACGCCGCGCCGCGCCGCACCGCGTGACGACCAAGACGACGACGACGGCGGCGGCGGTGGCGGCGGCAACGACGACGACGACTACGGACTTCTCGCGTCGGAGGTTGAAAGTTCGGCAGATCGCGCCTTCCATGGAATATCGAATTTTGCCGGCAATGAAAGGAGATACGGAAAATCGAGTTTCGGTTGTTCCGATACCGTTTCGGCGCTATTCTTGACTTCTTCATCTTTACGGGCAGACAATATGAGTCGATTCTTTTTCACGTATATAAACGTTTACACCTAAGCGTCGTTAACGGATTGTTTATTACGTTGGAACCTGGGAAAATGTCAGATAATTTGGTTTGGCCGCGAGAAAAAAGAGCCTCTGCCCTCTCGTGTCGGTATCATTGCACTTTCGAAAGACGGGGGATACTTTTCGCGAATTACGTCAGGTTTGTTTACGAATTCGTAAATCTTCGAGAATTTTTTTTATTTCAATAACTGTGTAACGGATTAAAAAGGAAAAATTTAGGTTGCTCTTTCAAGTTAAAACGATCACTTTCTGTATTATGTAAGATGAATGTGATTTTGATATGTTTTTTTTTTACAATATAAATGAAATTACATAAAACTTAACACGTTGTTATTACGGTATCTAATCGACATGCAATTTTGCTACTCAATATATTATTTGATACGCCGCCACTAATACGCCATTAAAATAATTTCAAGCGCAATCGGTGGATAATTTAATTCGTGAAATGCGCGAAGTAATTACACACTCGTGCAAAATACAATTGTGCAATTCAATGTTAATGAAGTTGAAATTTATCTGACATCATCGACATATAGACATTATCGCAGTTTAATGTGAAGCAAATACGATGATGTACAGTAGATCTCTTAAGTTAATGTTTTTTTTTTTTTTTTTTTTAAAGAAATAGCCTTTTAAAGGGACAATTGGATAATAGATTTATCGGGTTTCATTAAAAATGTTAAACTCGCTTTCCCTCTTTTCCAGGAGCTGAAGGCGCTTTTAAGAAGTTAAAGCCTGACCCCTGCGCTTCCAGTCCTCACATTGGTCACACACCTACCACAGCTAGCTGTCCAACACCTGCCCGACGGCGACACAGGACTACCTTCACTCAGGTTGGTACAGAAATATTGCAACATTTCTAGCTTTTTAATGAATTTCATGAATAAATGGAGATGTCTTTCTCGATATCCTTTCATTTTAGAAACTTATGCGTTTCCCGAAAAACTTTTATTTTTTTTCATGGTTCTTTGATTGATAACGGCATTTTGATTATCCAATCTTTCGTACCACGACCAAATTTCCTGCCGGATAGTTCAAATAGGCCTTTACCACGGTTTTCCAATTGTTTCGCAGGAGCAGCTGGCAGAATTGGAATCGGCGTTTGCAAAATCCCATTATCCGGACATATACTGCAGGGAGGAATTGGCGAGGACCACCAAATTGAACGAGGCCAGAATTCAGGTGAGTGCTCTGCTAAGAGAAAAACAAACCGCCCTTTCTCTCGTTTCTAGCGAAAGGTATCCTCTAATTAAATTAGTAATGGACAATACCGTTTCACTCGCATGTATTTTATAAGAAAATCTAAACCTAGCGGCGGTTCTTTTTGCATAAAATTTCAGTAGATTCAATAATACGAAGACAAGTTATTATATATTTTGATACATTATCATTAACGAAACTTTTGGATATTGCTGGAACTTGTTATGTAATGCCCGTGTCAAGAATAAATTTTTAACATTTTGCTACGAGAATTGGGTTTGGACGCTCGCCGAAAAATTTACAGACATACTTATCTGCTGTCTATCTTTATGACTATGACTCACTGTATAATTGAATCAAAGACGCATGTGGGGTGACGAAATGAAATTACGGGCGCAAATGTCGGTCCAAGACACCCTATATTCTTTGAGGGTCGTGGAATTGATCAGAAGGGATGAAAAGATTTTTCAATATATACTTCTCGATATATATCGAAGAATCTACGCAAACCGAATGAGAAAGTTTGGCGATATTCCTAGCTTTAATTGAGACAAGAAATATATTTTGAATTCTATTATATATTTACATAATATTTATTTTTATACGAGAAGAAAGGGGGTTATGTATCACGGGAAATTATGGCATTCAAATTTTTAATTTCTTCGACATGGAAAACGCAAATTCTACGACAGTAGTGCGGTTTGTGATGACATTAAGGATGGAGGATTTGGTAATGCGGTAGAAAGGGTCGTCGGGGAGGATGGACGGGATGCAAGAGAGAAAGAGAGAGAGGAGAGAGAGAGAGAGAGAGAGAGAGAGAGAGAGAGAGAGAAAGAGAGCGGAACGATGTCGGGGACTGGTTCGCATATACCGAGGCCCCGATTCCGAGCCGAGCGGTACATATTAAAACAGTCGCCGGTGCGTTGCGCTCTTTTGATATATAATGCAGCGGGGTGTTGTTTGAGTTAAAAGCCCGGGAACCGCCGCGACTTAACCCTGTTAAACTGCGATGCCAAGTAAAACGCGGTTTGCGCTCGTCGCTCGCCGGTTATAACCGATGCACAAAGTGTTCGCCGCCGAGGGCCGTGCGCCCGCGAGGAGCCGCGCAGCCCGCGCGTCGGGGTGGTCCTGTGCCCGTTTCGACCTCAAACGCGAGACGCAGTTTTAAATGTCATTTCCAGTCGCTGGTTTTCCGGCGCGCGGCTGCCCCAGAATCGGCCAATTATCTGTAACCTGCAAAGCGCGCGCCGTAATTAACGCTCGCGTCATCGCGAATTTGCGCGCGTTTCGACTGCTTTCGACGAACGACAGCTTTACCTCAAACGGTGAGTTTTCTCTCTCTCTCTGTCTCTCACGATGGGTTCATACCATTAGAAAATATCCTCCTCACTGGTGTCTTATCCCGCGATAAATTAACGTTCGCCATTCACTCCACTTACATTCGTGTCTGAAATTCACGATATTGCTAGCTTTTCTGCTAACTATATAAATATCTGATATAAAACCTCGCTTAATTATATAAATAATAAACGCGTTTTGTTAATGATTATGTTAATGACTATCGGTGCATTAAATACCTAAAAAGGCATTTAAAATGGATTGCGACTCGGTTGATCGCTTCGATATAACGCTAGAGCGAAATTAGTTCTTCGGCCTTAATTAGTCCTGCGCGCATCGCAGAGTTAAAAATTTCCCCAAAATAGCGATCGGTTATTGTAAAATGGCGTTCGATTGTAATCCAATTCGGACACATCAATTTCGATACGAGGTAATATCGATGAACCGCAATACAAAGTACCTGATACTTTCCACACGAAATTCGGAGAGATTCCCTCCTATCGTATACGCGGACGTAGAGAGCAAACGAAAATTTCGTCGTCCCCTGGAGGAATCGAGGGGCCGGTTTAGGGTTTAGGAAGGTATCCATCGCAAGACAGGGGTTCTCAGTGGAAGAAAAAGGCAGGATGGCGGCAAGAAAAGAGGGCCCTTGTCTCTCTCGCTCCCCTGATGTTCTTTCGAGAATCCCTCCCTCCCCTATCCACCATCAACCCCCGCGTCCCATCCCCCCGGCGCCATCTCGCCCTCGTCGTTGCTCGTCTCGTAGTGGAAGGAATAGCAAGCCCGGCAAGCCTGAGACGTTTCAGATCTATCTAGGGTGGAGAAAATTCAATTTAAAATGGCGGCTCAGATATAATGGCAGCCTCCGGTACAGCGTCACCCAACCCCCTGCGCGCCCAACTCATCTCAACTTTGCCACCCTCGTTCGTCGTCTATTTCTCTCTCGTCCTCGCCTCCACGGCCCGTGTCGCTATCTTTGAGGAAACAGAATGCCGTGACTAGCGCGGTAGCTTTTAAAGGGACGGCTCTTCTACATCCAGCGACGTCGCTCGATTGGCGGCGCTCGCTAAAAAATACATTGATCCCGCGCCCCAGACGCGTGTTGCTGCTCGTAACTTCTTTCGGGGATATGCAGAGTCTGAATGACATCCAATCGTAAACTTCTGAAACGTGATTTCGAAGGTTCGAAGATGTTACTTGATTCTTATCAAATTATTGTGACCGCAATATTAATAATAAATTGTTTTTGAGATTATAATGATCTTAGGGAATAATTATATAACTTAAACGATTGTACGACTTTGAACAACTGGGAAATATTTCTAAACAAGAATATATCCTGCAGAATCTCCTGATAAAGTTTAAGTTTCTATGCAGATCGGTCCCTAATAGTGACGCAAATTTGCTACGCGATTTGCAATTTCTCTAAACGCGCAAACGCGTATTAGTGCACGCTGAATGAGCGTTTTCCAGACGAAACACGGTACATCTTGCGCGGGATCGTTTCCGTCCATTTATGTCATTTCGAGTGAGGTTTGCAGGAAACTTGGTAGGAAGATGTAATGTGCTGCTTCGTGTGCTCACACACAGGCATGCAAATAAATTTAATAGGAGGATAAAGCAAAACTCAGTCGAAGTGAATGTTTTCCATGATTGCTTGACAATTGCAAATGAAAATGAAGTAATTAGGATTGTTAAATTATTTTTCTAAATTTTTTCTGAGCAGATAGCAGAAACTTGCTTTTAATCTTTGTAAATAGATTTATTTTAACAGAATTCTTTTAATGAAAATATTTGAGAAGGCAGTAAATATATTAATTATATGTTGAAAAGATGGCACAGTGTCTTCCATCATTAAGACTATTGTTACAGTATTGTTGAGAGATCACGAAAGTATTTGTGACGATTATTATAATAATAGTAAAAAATCGGGTAACACCCGATGGTAAGAGAATAATTCTCGAATCACCGCACAAGAAATCCCATTACGCCGAAGAAAAAGAAAGGAAAAGCCCGAGCTCCGCGATATTGAGTTAGCCGAGTTTTCATTCGACCTTTTTACTTCGATTCGACTTCCGATCGAAGCCTACCTACCGGTCGTTTTACGAAATCGCTTTCTTATTTGACAGGAAACAAGGAAATTTCTAGGAGTAGCAAAAATAACTGACGAGTACTACGCTTCTCAACTTTACTTTTCGCAGAACTTTAGAACTATAGTTTACGATTAAATATTAATTATTCTGAGATATTTAATTTTCGTTGAATTTATTAACATTAGAGATAATTTCCCTATTATATTGATTTCTATATAAGACAATAAAATGAATCAAATTCTTCAGTTTAAAGGTAAGAGAATTTAAATATATAGACAATTATTAAAGTTTATAAATTAATATAAAGATGAAAACGTAAAAAATAACATAGTTAATATATAATTTTCTTAGGTCTTTTTTTTTTCAAATTGTATTGCTAGTACTTTCTCAATTGCTTACAACTTTTTTATTAATAAAGATACATATATTTGCTTAGTATTATTGTGTTCATGAATATCTGATGTTTAGATTTAAAAAAAGTTTTACAATATATTCATTTTTATTTGAAAGTTATAAGCAATTGAATTGGGTTAAACCCAATACTCAGTATGTTCCCGTCGAAAAGCATTTAATAGTTAATAATCCGTTCCTTCGTACGTAATTATACTTGAGATTACGCAATACGAAAAATTAATAGTAATTTTTAGAACTTTTGTTTCTGTATTGTACAATTTACTGAATTTTAATGACCCGGTATGCTAATTTGTTGTGATAAGGATAGTTTGCGATTCTATTGGTATGATGCTCAAATTGAATACTATTTGTAATGTTTCTCTAAAGAAGCAGTCCCAAGTGGTCGAATCTCATTGTCGGTTTTGGATTGCATAACTACGAATTCGATTGTTGTACATAAGTAATTAGGCTCACAGCTTCCGAAATGAATGCGCAAGCAGTACATACTTATGTTACACAAGTATTTCGCTCTTCTCATCTTTTTTTGACGAAAAAGCCATTACCGGGAATGTATCCATTTTCCCGGGTTAGTATGTGGGTTAGCTATCAGAGTGCAGTATTCTCTCAGGCATACGGGAGGATAGTTTTCTCGGTCGCGGTCCTCAAAGTAGCAGACATTTTGAGCCGCGCACCCCCGTGGGACAGCCATCTCGCTCCTCCCCGTCCTCTTTCTCCCTATTCGGTCTATCTTTCTCTATGAGCGAACGTGGCGGGAGGAGAAGAGAGCGCGGTTATTGAATTACGAACTCTTAGCTTTCCAGTTCTTGCAGAGTGCGCGCCTTAAGGGAGCGCGCTCACTCGCGCGCGCAAGTATGTTCTCGAAAAGCTCTTCTAGGGAAGAAGCAAATAAAAGGAATCACCCTTTTACCGGATCTCTTCGGGCAACCTGTTCTACCCGCCCCCGTAAATGCGTACGGTATGTACAGGGTGTACCAGCATTTGGCAGAATCGAAAATTTGGAGTTGCTATCGACTTAACGAGGAATATTGAATAGAAATACAAAGCTCGAAATAAATTGTTAAGATAAAATTCATTTTGAGGAATAAATATCGAACTAATATTTTTTGTTTTTTTTTTAAGTATCTCTGAAGTTTAATTCCGGTAATAGTCAATAGTTGGGATAATTTTATACCTCAGTGGCAAAAATGTGAATTGTAAAATATTGTTTAACATGTTTTCTTTTTTAATTCTTTACAAATCTTTAAATGTGCAATTCCATTAAAAATCCACAATAAAAAGTCATTATCAATTAAAATTTTTATTTTTTAGAAATGCTATTATAATAAGCTACTCAACATGCTTATTTCATTTAATATTTGTTTGGTTTCTACTTTTTTTTTTTTCAGAAAATCATGATTAAATATTTACACATTTATAATGTTTTCTTAAATATTGAATAGTAATATACAATATGTTATTAACAATAGTGATTTTAATTGAGGTGTAAAAAATATTCCAAATAACTTTTACATAAAAAAAAGAAAAAAGCAGATGAATACTTCTGGATTAAGCGAGAAGTACATTATTTTCGAGAGCTTACAGTCGTACACACAGCCAAAGGATTGTCAGTCAAAGGATTATCAGTGTTTCATCATTTTTACATTTATGACAACTGCAAATTTCAAACTGTCTCTCCAGTTTCTGTTAATTCTCGAACACTCTGTACGTATGTATATTTATATGACTATTCACAACCGTAGTCTCGATTATAGTGAAGATGCGCTTCGTTTTAGATTTTAGGGAAACACGCGGTATCGGGTTAAACGAAGCGTAGACAATGTCATTTGCATACTCACGGTGAAAATACAAGCACGTACACGAAAAATTTCCCGGGGCGAATTACGTACGGAAATGGAGTTCTTACCGCGAGTTTTCTGAAAACCGTTCTCGTGAAAATACGAAGTCCAAATGGCAATCAGTCGAGCTGTTCGCATGCATTCAATAAATACGAAATCTAAGTTTAATAAAATCTAATAGTTCAAAATAGGCACGATTTAATCATACATTTATCAGTTTTTTTTTTATAAATAACTCTAAAATTATTTTATTTTATTTTGATTTATCCACAAAAAGAAGGGTACTATTATGTTTTTTGCGAGTATATATTAGGTGTTGGAATTAATTCGTAGCGTTTTTTAATGAAAGAATGTTATTTATTTCACATGAGCATTAAAAAATACATTAATGAAAGTACTTCCCATCACTTGTAAAACGCTACGAATTAATTCCAACACCTAATAGTTTTGCAATTCTTTATCTTTATCTCGATGGAATACGTTACGAGTACTTAACGCTCTTAAAAAAGCGTCACGTATGTTATTCGATATTGATACTATTTTCTAGTTACGCACGTATTTATAATAGAGCTAGCCTCAGTTGGTATACACGGATGAAGGTAATGCCAGATTATTCGAAAGCCGGGCGTGTTTTATGCAATTGCAAATCGTCCCGCGGCGTGAATTCCAATGCGGATTGAGATTGATTATGTGACTTGCCTCGCACGTACCGCGATTTCCATACATGTGAGTTAGAACGATGCACGCTCGTCATATGAAAATGTTAATCAAGCCCTTTGTTAAGAGTCTTCAAATGTGCTAACACCTTCGAAATCGCATGTACACCCTTTCCTCCTCTCCCTCTGCCCTGGTTGCTGCGAATATTTCTTTCGCTTTACTTGCAAATTTATGTAACGTTGTTAAAAAGAAATATCAAACTCGGTAAATGCCTATAATTCCGCTGTAATCCACGGCCACTGAGCTTCTTAGCGATCCCTTTCGACGCAGAATTCAACTTCAGAATTAATATTCCGATTATCATCACATTTCGATAATCGCCCCGATTCTCTATAATATTCCATATCCGAACTGAGTTCTGTCTTTCTCAACTAAGTAATTCCGGATTCCAGCCAATTTCGCGACAAGAGCTTAATCTAAATAAGACTCTATTACTCTGCTCGAGCTAGATATTTCTACTATAAAATTTCACTTATCGCAATCTTCTATGTAAAATTGTCAATCTTTCGTGATTAGAATATGTTATTATACCATTTTTGTTTCCATATCTCGCGGTAATTGAATGTACCTATATGTGACGTAAAATCACTTGTTACATTTGGGACTTTTAATGTTACATCGAAAAGTAAGCCTGAAAACGTGCTGCTCTTCATATTCACTCGATTAAATAATTAATTCGCGAATTACGTATATTCTTCAAAACAAGCATTCTATTTTGTCGTAACGTTTAATCGAAACTGACTCGCGTTGATTCCACGATTTGCGATTCCACTCAACTCGAAGGCAAGAAGACAATCTAAATAAAATCTAATTGTAACTGCGCGAAATTACTTGTCTAACTTGTTCGGCTCTCAATATCGTACCTATACAGACCTATTTGTTATCTACTTAACAGTCTAACAAATTTATAATGGCATAAAGATTAGTTTTTCTATACGGTACGTCTTAAAATGTATCTTGCGTGCGACTATAAAATAAGTGACTTTCTTGCTAAATAAAATACTTCCTTTGCGTTCGAAATTTGTAAATTGACATTTGTACAAAAGACATCAAGAGACATGGTATACGATCATTGATGGAAATAATTTCATTACTGATGAAATATTAATTTCTTGTGTAGGCGTTGATCTCTTCGGCGTGGGTTGACGCGAGATAGATCTTGACGTAAGTGACGACCTTTATCTGGCGATGTCTGACGTTAATAAATTAGCATAAGGATTACTTTATAATTAAGCTAATTGTTTAAAATGATTATAAAATTCCTTTTTGTGTTTGTCGCGAGAAGTAAAGTTCTTATCGATTGACATAAAGCGTTTGAAAGGGTGCTTGAAATAATTAAACACGTGTTTCTACAAAGGGAGTTTTCCCGAGATTAGAGATATTCGCCTTCAACGAAATAATGAGAGAGATAATAACTTTCGTGGTAAAGTTTACGATGCGTTATTAAGTGAGCAGCAAATAGATTAAAAATAATAAATTAAAAAGATTAAAAAATAAGTGAAATTGTTAACTTCGATAAACAATAAACGAAGCAAGATGATCGTTTGCGACCTTATAATGAAAATCCGTTTCTTCTCTCTGATATATAATGAATTTTTTTCTTCTCCGTACTCGGTTTTTAATACGAGAACATCGCTGCGGATATTTCACGAGGTACTCTTCGGAAGCGCCATGCTTCCACACAAAGAGTGATAGAGCCGGGAAGAGAGCGAAGTAGAAAGATACAGACAGCGCAGGAGAGAAAAAGAGAGAGAGAGAGAGAGAGAGAAAGAGAGAGAGAGAGAAATATGGAGAGTTTGAGAGAGAACGAACCCGTTCGAGCCACCCCGGTTCGTGTCACCCACTTCTGCGGCGATGAGAGAGGGTGTACAGTAGAAATGTCGATAAAACGTGTCGGCCAATGAGCGAGCCCGATGTGACGTCACCGCCGCGGCATCGGCCAATCGGGTGGCGCCGGTGACGTCACCGGTGAGGGTGGAAACAACCCAACCTCGACCCGGGACGAGAAGCCGCAGGCTTTTCTCTTTCTGGGGGGGAGGGGGCGCTGGAAAGAGGGGTCGGTTGGCAGGGCGGGGCGCGAGAGTGGAGATTGTCGGGGGTTACAGGAGGGACGGAGGCGGGAAAGAGAGAAGAGAACGGGGTGAGTCGCCGGTGGCGGCTCAGGCAAGCCCCAATATGGGTTTACTAATCCCGCGAAACAATGGAAATTGCCCGATGCAAAATGGCGATAGGTAAACCGCCCCGGGTTGCCGGGTGAGGCCGGGGGGTAAACTTAGGATCCCGTTCGGGTAAAAGAAAAAAAAAGAAGAGGATGCTTTTCGGCCCAAGAGGTTTGTGTCCCTTCTTTGATCGACGAGGACCGTTAACTCGATGCTCTCAAATACTTCGTGCGTCAGTATTATACACCATTTTGTTAGCTTCTTGGTCGCCATTTTGCTACGAGCGAAAACAATTATTTTTACGAATATTTCTGTATATCAAAAATTTTGCGGATTAATATATTTCGCGTAATAATATTTAAAAAAAAGAAAATAAGATTGAATGATATATTTAAGATATTCTAGAACTAAAAAGGGATGCGAATCTGTTAACGCAAGATCGAAGAACTTTGACATGCTTCGGTTCATTCCAATTCTGAACTATTTACATTGGCGGAGCTAATATGCAGGAAGATTAATATATAGAACGCCATTTCAAAACTATTCTGTAACTATTCTCTAACTAAGCGATAGACACTACAATTTGCATTGCGAAAGAATAAAAACGTAATTATTCTCTTTTAGATTGTTTGTGTAATATGAAATTGCATTGTCCTACCAGATACTAATATACTTAATTAAAATAGGATAACAATTAATGTTCAGCCAAAGATACATATCGAAACAAGAATGATACAAACTTCGTTTGCGCCATTAGTGCTTCGCAAACAATGTTATATATCGCCCAGAGATCGAAATGATTATCTACATCGCAAATTATATCGCATCGCTTAAACATCGTTAATACGTATTGCATCGCGACCGTTTGTTTACGCCATTTCGTCTGTCTTCGTAGGTTTGGTTCCAGAACAGAAGAGCGAAATACCGGAAGCAGGAGAAGCAGCTGCAGAAAGCTCTGACACCAATTCCCGCCTGCCAAGGTGCCATGATGAGGAATATCTATCCTGGTGCTAGCAGAGGTTATCAACCCTACCCCCATCCTCACAACAGCATAAATGGCATAAATCGTTATCCCCAGGTGAGGCTCCCTTACGACGCGCAGGACGCTTCTGAAATTTCATTATTATCGATACCCGCCGCTTTGCACGCTCACCAATGCACTCAGCGCGAAGACACGTCTCCGATAATGGCAAGTAAATAATATAAACAAGAATTACAATTATGTCATCTTCGAGGTGTACATACCTGCTTGTCTCGCTACATAAATCTTCAAGTAAATGCGTGCAAACGTTTTTTTTTAATTCGGGCACAAAAAGATCGTTTCAAATACTTTGTTCGAATTTCGTGCGTATTGGTCAACATGCAATATTATTTTTATATATTATCTACTACGTATTATTATTATTTTCTAGAAAAATAGAGTAATAAAGAAATTACGATAAATTAATAGATCTTCTTGCAAAGTGGCTCACTATCAATGCGCCATGTTTGATAGAAGCGCAGCTATAGAATATCAGAAAATTAAAAGATTTTGGGACAATCATAGATTTGGTCATCGTTTCGAAGGTTCCACATATCGGGAATGAATTCGATGCGTTTCTCGTTAATGATTTTAACCGAGGTATTAAATTGGAGTGCACCTGAGCGTACGTCCGGCGCATCGCTATCGGTCGATATAGCTAAATTGCATTTCGGCTGATTAGTTGGGTCGGCCGGATTACCGAATGCCTACCCGCTTTAATTGAGCCGATAATTCAAGCGTGTTTCGGTTTCCCTCCGAAAAAAAAGAAAGAGACTCATTATAGTTTATATTATAATTATCCTTTTTTTTTCACTCAAACTTGATCCATTAATACCTTGTTGAACGTCTAAGACGGCAATTTGCAAAATTTTTCCACCGAGCAATATGTCTGTATGTTTTCTTGTTAAAGGTTTCAAATTCCTAATAACAATATGCCAGTGAAATTAAATCTGAAGCAAAGAAAACTAATAATTATTCTATAATTAATAATTCTACAATTATCATTTAATAATTAATAAATAAAAACAATGAAAAGTGTTGGATACAAGGAAAGAACGATTTCGTTTATCAATTAAAATATTACAACTCAGGCTTCAATGAATACAAATTCAGAAATTAAAGAAATTACGAGAAGGCTAGTCGAGCCAAGTGGGTGTCATGTACTATTAAAAATTAAAATTTTCAATTCCTAATTTTAAAAATCAAATGTTTCAATCAATCATATTCAGTGATATAAAAATTCTTTTACAAATTGGAACTCTAATACATAAAATCGCTATACGATTTTTTTTCAAAATTTACATTCAATAGTCATTGTATATTGAATTATAACATAATTGTAATCTTACATGTTATGCATTGTAGATAGATATGCTTAGATCTTCGATAGCTTCACAAAACAATATTCCTTCCCTAGTTAATCTGTGGTGATCGTGGCATAGAGTTGTGTGGTTGTTTTCTGTGCTAAAAATCTGAGTTCAAAATATGTATGTCCACCCAGGACATACATATTAGATTTTATTTCATCACCTTTCAGAAAACAATGGTAAACTATTGAGAGTATATTTGTCATAACAACTTCTTTTAAGGTAGTTCAGATACAACATTAAAAATTGTAGGTTCCATGTTATATCAGAGGATATATGTACAAGAGATCATCACGTATTTGATCGATGTCTGAGAATTATAAGACATAGCCATATAAAATAAATGTATACGTACATATCTAAAAAGCATAGAGGGTAAAGAAATAATCGACGATTTATTTATTTATTAAACTCCTAGAGGGAACAATAATTGTTCCCACTAGAAGTTCTAGTGAAAAGTTCTGTGTTTTAGAAGAGGTTGTTATGGCGAAGATACTCTCGATGATTTGCTATTGCCTTTCGAGAAGTGACGATCAAATAAAATCTGATATGTATGTTCTGGCTAGATTTGAACCTAGATCTGTTCCAACTTGTAATAATTCTAAAATTGTAGTTTTTATTGTATATTTATATTATTGAAGATGGTCACATTAAATAATTAAAATGTATGATTTTAAAATTATGAATTGAGTAATTTTTAACAGAACATGACACAGTTTGGCTTCGATAGCCCTCTTTTAATTTCTTTAATTTCTGGTTTTGTTTGTCTAAAAACTTACAGTTAGTTAGATACAGATCTGAAAATAAATTTTGTTTGAACTACAAAATAATATACAGGATGTTTGGAATTTAAATGTCAAAACTTCGAGAACGTGTAGGAGATCGATAAATTCGTCAGTTACTCGTCACAAGTTATCGAGTGAATTATTCCTTCACAATATGTCGCGTTCTAACGTTGAATGGTTTTCGTGTATAGCTTCTTCGACAAAAAGTCAACATTTTGAACAATATCTACATTAAGCAAGTGAATAAATACAATGTGAATAAGTAATAAGAAAGTATGAAAATTAAAACTATATTTTGTCTTTTTTGCTATTTTTTTCAAAACAAAATAAAAACGAGCATATCTGTACAACACTTTTTTTCTTAGTTTATCGATCCTCTACACACTCTCAAAATTTTGACATTTAAATTCCAAACATTCTGTATATAGAACGCTCAAACTGATTATTAAAATTTTTTTGTAGCATTGATCATACTTGAGATTTCTACATAATTATTTTAATGGTCCAATAAAATTATTCTCAGATTCAATTCATTTATCTAAATTTTCAGATACCCTACTAGCAAACTTGTTCTTTTCGGGTAAAGTAAATTTTACCATCGCGTAATTTTTTTTTATGATTTAGGCGATCCTTTCATTCCTACCTTCGTCGGGAATTGTACTTAATAATCGTGATATCACCGTAGAATCACGTAACACGTTGGAAAATTGATTACGACCAGGAAATAGATACCGCGACGCATTATTAATTTCCATCAGTTCCGAACGTATTACACGGTTAATTTTTATAATGAAACCACCCGTCGCATTCGATTTTGCGTTTGCCACCGTCGACGAGTGGAAACGTAAGAGTGGTTTCTAGCCGATAATTATGTTTCATACACGTTAATTACCGCATTACTTTCCTCTCGTTGTTCCAACTCGGCCGCTCAAACCGCGCGGGTAACTCCGTAATCTCATTGATATATCGCGGAATCCATTTTCGCTCGTTCGCTCATTTTACGCTTGCGGAAATTAATTACACGTGACATTAACACCGCATCTTCTTTTCCTCCTTCTCCTATTCCTTCTTAAACGTGACAGATTTTATTGCGTGCAATTAATATAACCGATTAAAAGAGATATCATGTATCGCAGGATGCGATAAAACGTGGTCAATCTCCAGAATCGCGGATTGGATTATCAATGTCGTTAATCGCGATGAATAAATGTTTCAGATGGGCACGACGTCTTACCCGAGCATGACTCAGCCGTTCTCCATGTCGCATTCAGCGTCGAATATGTCGGCCGTCACCGGCATGCGACAAGATGCAATGGGTAAGTCATAAATAATGCAACGCCAGCGCTTTGGGTGTGTGTAAAATGAGTACGGCGATGAATGGCTCGTGAGCGCGGTTGCGCTCTCATTTGGGTCAAGGATTATGCAAATGTCCTTAATCCCACAAATATCCTTGATATCCTCACGTTCGTGGGTAACCGATTTCACTTTTTCGCGAGGTGTCAATTTTCGCGTGATTCTCACATTGCGTGGTTTCAAATGCGATCTCTAAAATTTGTTATCGTAATCTTTACAGAACGAGAAGTGGCCATCATAGTGGCTGAAGCAATGTCATATTTTACGGCAAGGAAATACAATGAATAATGAAACTTACTCAAGGAAAAGCTGTAAGATTAAAAAGATAGATCCCTGATCTCTAAAGGTTAATAGCTGTGATATTTTAATGGTTTACTTATTTATCTTTATTTGAACTAAATTGAACTACGAAAATAGCCTTAATTAAAAATCTAATTTGAAAGATATATTACATTAAGCTCGTGATAAGTAATAGCTAATTTTACTGGAAGAGTAAAACGAAAGGAAGTCAATTTATATAATGTATCTTATAATATTTAAAATTTAGGAAAGAGCAACATTTTAATAAATTAATGTAATATTTATTTAACAATTATAATATTTATAATTGTACTATAATTTATATGATTGATATTATAATTGTTAAATAATTATATTTAGCAAATTATGATATTTAATGAGAGAAATGTTGCACTGAGAAAAATTTCTGGTTGAAAATGAACGAATCAGAAGATCCCGATCTTGATTCTTATCTAACTAGAATTACAATAGATCAGCTAGAAAATTCTAATTTGTCCATTTTCAAGAATTACAGTTAAAGCAAGACTCCTTTTTCTGTACAATTTTCTAAATTTTAACTTTTTAGGTATAATGAAGTATATTATAAACATCGACGTCCCTCGCGTTAATTATTACAATAACACTACAAAGTCCTACAATTGTGTTGATTGCACATACATATTTAAGTATTTTATATTTGAACGTTGTTTTTCGACCACCGCGCACGTCATTTCCTCCCTCACGAGATCACGCGAACGTGGAACGGACATAAACTAATTTCTTTGGCCTCATTCTCTTGTCCAGCATCTCACGACGACTTTCTGCACCGTCTTCGGGCGCTGACCCAACGTTATCGAATGACTTCGCAAAAATCCGGAGCGGAAATGGCGCGAATCCGACGCTCGTGCACAAGAGCGAGAGAGCACCGCGCGTTCTCTCAGCCTCCAAGACGTTCTCTCCATTTCCGCCCCAGCGCCGTCTTACACCATTTCCGGCGCGAGATGGAATATCGCTTTTAAATCGAATCAAGACTATTCGCGAATTGCCTCGCCCGTCGGGGGTTGCACGGTGCAAGCAAGCGATTGCTGTACGAGTGTGCGGCCTCTCCGCGCTCGCAATCCCGTTGCCTCTCCTTAACGATTTAACGCCTCTCTCTTTAACGTCTTAATGCGATAGCAAATCGACCGATTAGCGGAGACTCGATAAAGCACCGCGGAAAGTCAGTTAAATCGAATCACTCCAGGATTCTTTCGGGATAGAAAAGAAATCCAGCTTCTCCGCGTCGAGTGACGTCCGACTTTGATTTATCAAACGAATTAGTAGTGTCACGTGGATTCCTACCAATTAAAGTTAACGTTAATGATCTCATAATACTATTGAAAAACGGAAAGGACAGTTTTGTTGAAGTATCTAGAAATTTAGCTATACAGATCTGAAAATAATATTATTTGGACCATCAAAATAATTATGTAGGAAAAAAATTTAAATTAGTTGGTAGCTTCAATTTTTTTTCAATATTGTTATCAATGTTTAAACATTTTATATAAACATTTTAATGACCAATAAAATTATTTTCAGATTCGTATCTAAATTTTTAGAACACTTCATATACTTTCAGAATATTTTTAGAATACTTCATTAAATTTTTAAATACTTCAACAGAACTGTTCTTTCTATGTAACTCATAGATTGACTAAAGAGAGGGAGACTATCAGGCGAATAGTTTGTCTAAAAATCCCGTCTTTTTTCCTGTTTCAGGAATGTCAGCGGAGGACGAGTGGTACAACAAGAGCATCTCAGCCCTGAGAATGAACACAGCCCACCACCCGAATCTGGCCGCACCAATGTTACAATATCAGACATAATTGTAAACGGAGGCGAGAGGGCAACTCGAGGGTCTCGTCAGGAATCCGATGACGTATCTATGATCAAGCCGATCGATGGAGGGAAAAAAAACCGAGAGCAAAATGACGAACCCGACGAAGCCCTATCGACGTTTTGCCGTTTCGCAGAAAGAAGAAAAAAAAAGAAATGAGAGGAAGGGAAACAGAACCGTGGATCGATTTGCATTATCGCTAATCGGCTTACGCGGCCGCGTCGACATCCTGATTTCGTGACGCATTCTCGCATCTCACTTGCAGCAAGCAAGCTCGATTTGCAATGGCATACACATGTCGCGAGGCATATACGCGCGAAAAGCTCTTAATCCGATCACGTTCTCGTGTTTCATCGTCGTTTGGACAGGCCGAATGTAAGTTCGAGCACGACGTTGAAGATTGTGTGCGATAACGAAATAATGAGACTGTGCGTTTATCTCGAACGTTTATTCGGAACGTGAATTTCTAAAATTCAACAACGTTGAATTCTGAAAATTCAACAACGCGCGATTATCGCGCGCGTGTGAAATATCGTGTTGCAAAATATCAATTGGCACACATAGAACCTCGTGATTTTTTGTGTAATTTCTGCGACTTACGATTCATTACGATCGACATACAGATTGTCTCTGGTATCGCGTATTTCCTTTCTCAATTGGCAAATCCTCTCACTAAACGTTTGCGAGACAGATTTTTTACATCAATTTTGAAACAGAATGTTATCAAAGGGAAGCCTATCAATGAAGTTAAGATTAAGAAAAAAATCCAAATATCTCAATAATATTTTCATTAAATTAAAATTCAACCAATTTTTTATTAATGTTTTTATTTTAATTAAATTAAATTTTACAACTTAATTTTGCTGTTTTTTAAAAGTTATTATTATTTGATGAAACGGTTGTAGATAAAAAAGTATGTATTATGATTGAAGACTGAATTAACGGAAGCTAGTTTGAAACCCATGTCACATTACACATTGAAGATTAAAGATTACGAAGAAATGAAGATTAAAATCCAGCCAATCAGAACAAATAAAATTAAAATAATTAATTGACTGGTCTAATCTCTAGTCTAGACTGGTCTAGTCTCTAATTCTAATCTTTAATTCGCAATCCTTGATGCGTAATATGACACGTGTTTAATGAGAGGCACTGTGCAAACAAAAAGCCATTTAAATTTGGCTGTGTGAGAATTTGAATGTTTCCACAGATATACGCTTAAAGAAAGTGTAATCTTCTTTTTTTATTGTGTGCAGGAGAAAATACGCAATGTCTGAGACACCCTGCATTTTCGATTTAAACAGCGAAGAATATCCTGCAATTAATAGCGTGTACAGAGACGTAGAGCTCGTTTGCCGCGAGATCGTCGTGTATTTTCTACGTGTGGCCGTTTCTTTTCCCCGCGTCTGGTTCCTTTCGTTCGAGAGACGCGTCGCACCGCACATAACGCGTTTACATGCGCGATATTCCGTTAATCTTCTAACAACGATACGTGCCACACCTTCGTTAATTGGCGAGAGAGGGAGGGCAGAAGACGGTACTGTACATAAATTGGTGAAAGAGAAGAGATATAGATACATAGAGATTGCGTAATCGGCAGATACTCTAGCATATGCGATTTTTCAATGTCCTTTTAAAAGTGTAAGCATACCCTTAGTGAATGATATTAGGCATTGATTTGTGTGCTTATGTTGACCACGATTTTGGATAATCAAGGAGGGGGAATGGGGGCGTATTGGAGGGGGATGATGGTATCTGACAGTGTTTTGCGTTCGAAATTTGAGGGGCGCCAGGGTTTCCTCGTCGCGACGAGCGGATCGTCGAAACTCATCCCTTTGTGCGGATCAGACGCCGTCGCACATCGATATAGGGATGCGTTATATTATCTTAAAAAAAAAAAAAAAAAAAAAAAAATATTAACACATGGAAAGAACGATTTTATCGAAGTATTTAAACATTTAGCTATTATAAATACAGACCTGAAAATAATTTTATTGAAACATTAAAATAATTACGTAGGAATCTCAAGCATGATGAGCAATATTGCAAAAGTTTGGACATTCTAGCAACAAGTTTTTTTAAGCGTTTACATAATTATTGTAATGGTCCAACAAAATTATTTTCACATTGATATTTAGTTAAATTTTTAGATATTTCAAAAATCAATCTTTCCATACAGAAAACACAAACGATTTTGCGTTTCACGAACTAAAGAACTTAACAGAATAAAAATTATTGAAGATACATGACGACATCGGAACAAGTATTAACACGAAAAAAGAACGATCTTGCTAAAGTATCTAAAAATTTAGCTAAATACAGATCTGAAAATAATTTTGTTTTGGCAATGAAAATAATTATGTAGGATGCTTAAACTGATTGCTAGAATGTTAAAACCTTTTGCAGCATTGTCATAAAACTTAATAATTATTTGGATAAACTAACGAAACTATTTTCAAATCTGATCTAGCTAAATTTTTAAATACTTTTGCAAAATCATTCTGTGTAGCATTCTTTATATTTTTAGATTCAAATCAATTTTACGGAAGTGCGATGTGAAAGTACTAGTAATCCGTTAAACATGACATAACAGTAACATTATATCAGTGTTGAAATTTTCTATTCAACAATGTATCTGTTACATATGTTTAGTAGAAAATTATAATATTGATTACATTTACATAGCACTCTCTAATCGGATTTAGTAATATCCGTAGTTATGAAACAATTATAGTTATTCCTGTGAAGAATGAAATGAATATAATTGGCCATTTTATCTATACGGATGTTATTGAACCAAGGATGCCATGTAAATGTAATCATTGATATAATGTTACCGATATAACATTAATATTGTGTTTAGCAGGCAGACATTTAGACTTGTTCGACAGACTTTATGCTAAGTTGATAAACAGTTTGTGTAGATTTGTGTGCGACGGCTTATGTACCGATTTCATATTAAAAAAGTCTCCGACGTCGTAATGTCAGACTCACAAAACGTGATTGCAAGGTGATTGAATTCGTTAAGCAAAGAAACGAGATCTCGACTTTGCTCATCACTGTTTTCGCGAGTGTCGATTGTCGGAAGATGTGTCGGCATCTTGAACCTTGGATAAATAAGGCGTAAATTTTATTGCACCGCAAGTTGTGCGAAAAATCTTACCGAGAGGTCGGTGCCTGGACAAACGCACACAGGCCTATAATTACGAAAGCCACAAAGCCAATAGAGTTTTAATGAGAAAGATGGAGATCGCACTCTGTCTCATCCATATCCAGGATTAAATATGTAATTATCACTAACAGATCATATCGTGTAACAATAATGTTGTCCTCGTAATAGTCAAACCGGTTGCATCAACAGGCGAATGATTCCAGGCCGAACGATTGCCCGATATCGCGTGGAATAGCCAAACGACTATGTATTATCAATGAAGTAATTTGCGAATATTCACGCAATGAAAATCGGATCGTCGATGAGACGGTTGCCGAACGTACATTATTCACTCTGTTGCCGCAAGCCGGTTAATTATTGCGATCGTTCGTCGTCCGGATGCTTTCCCGTGTAAAAGCAGAATCGGAGCTTTCGTCGCTTTAACCGTTTGCACTTCGAGCTTCCGGCTCGATAAAATCTTATATTAATTCCGTTATAATCTTATCACATTTACAGGTACATAAATAGGAATTGCGTGCGCTTTATATAGCTTCTTACGAGACAAGGAAGCTATTGGGCGAAGCTATTATTCTGTTAACGTTTTATTCGATTTTGAGAAATATACTACAAACTTTTTCGTAATAAATACATATAAATATCTACTTACCTCAATATTGAATAATTCCGCGAAGACATCAGGGATTTTGCAATGGACACATGCGGGGCGCAAACGGTTAATTAACGTGCGACTCGCGACTTCTCCCTGGCGCCTTTCAGTCATAAATATTCGGAGTCTGTCCAGTCAACAATCGTCTATATTGGTGTCATTTTTCGATAACTGTCTAATCAATATATCGAAGTCGAGGATGAAGCTGCAGGTGACTGCGCATTGTTTTCGTGTAGTTTCGCTGCGACCTTATTATTACCGCTCGCGGCATTCCACGAGAAATGTTCCTAAAAAGTTTGTAACATATCGTACACGATACACTTAACATATGCACGGATACATATACACACACATACATACAAAGTACACGCACAAATACACACGAGATGTGCATGGACACATACGCGTCCAACACACGAAATTACACGCGTCACGTTGTGTCGAGAGGGCAAGATTAAAAATTAAGTGGAAATGCATACCGGACGAGCGTAACATAGTTTTAAGCAAGGGTCACGTATTGTACGTATGTGTTGTACATAGCCTAAATAAAAATTACATTTAAAATTACCCTCCTCTCTCCCTCTTAATCTCTTCTTTCTTCCTAATTATTCGAACGATGCAAATTAATCACGTCTACGTTGGGATGCAGATTCAAAAATTATGTTGAAATTTTTTATTCATATTATTGAGCTGGATGAAACTTTGCCGAATGTTGCACTAAAAGAAGATGTACTATGTTTCATTACTCCAATTTTGAAATGGCATATTAACAAAAATTAAAACAAATGAATGTACCATTTAAATGAAATTATAGAACTGTAGAGCTGCTTTCTGTTATTATAGGTTTCATTGATAGGATGTGAATTTAGGACTAAATCAATTTCACATTGTATTAATACAAAACTGTTAGAATTGCTGGAACGATGTTAACGTATAATTTGCTGGGTATACTACTGTAAAAAAATTAAAATGCACTTTATTTATAATACAATAATTCTTTCGCTCATGAATCTTTTTCTCAGTCATTGTGTTACACTACTAATAATAATGTCACACAAAAATTTTACTATATTTCTAAGTCATCTATTTCAAATTAAAATAATGAGATATATTTAAACAGTATATAATAATAAAATATATTTATACAACTCTTCTTTACATTCGCCTTTGAGTAAACAAAGCACGCTTAAATGGCTTTAAATAAAATTCTAATACATTACAATATGGATAAGATAAGATTTTGTTTATGACATTTTGACATTACATGTCACGGTTATTTGTTCCAAGCACGGAATATTAGAATAAAAACTTTTTTCTAACTAGATCGTAAACGAGGAAAATTATGAAATTATTTATCAATTGCAATGATTTGGAAACATCGAATATTTTAGTTCATTAAGAAGATGAAAGAAGCATAGATATTCATTTAAATATAAAAGAAGATAGAAAGAATAGAGAGTTTATGGTTCTCTGATTTCTTTAAGATATTAGGGAGATGGAAAAATATAAAGTAAATATAGATAATAGAACTGCAGAAATAGAGACTTTTGAAATAAATGAAAATAAATAAGGAGAAGATGAATACATCGAATATAAAAACCAATTATGTCAGACAATTTGAATTAATATAATTGTTTGGCTCATGATGTAAATTTTCATATTAATTGAAATTAATGTCGATAATACTCGTTTTGTCAACATTAGCTTCAATGTGAAATTTTTTTTAAATTATGAGTTTGTTTCTTCCGATAACACAAATGTAAATAATTTTCCTGCACTAGTGTACCACATAAGTACGACTCGGCGAATATGATATTTTAATTCGGTAATTATTTAGATTAGTAAATAATTACTCTTACTTTTTATCAAGGCACACAGTACAGATATCAGATACTCAACGGATGTCAGTTGTTGATCTAATTTTAGAACATTTCCGGTTGGACGAAATTCCTGTTCATATCAAAGATGGGCGCGTAAGGAAACTATTTTCAACAGTTCTTCAACGTATTCAAAACATAATTTACATTATTTCCGCTTTTCGGCTACCTAGACTTTTTTTTATTAATGCCCAATCTTCCAATATATCCGCATCATTGAGCATGTAAACGATATAAGGACCTGCGACGGAAACTGCTCGTCTTCTCTCTGAATGATTCCTACGTCTTCTACCGGTCGTATTAAGCCACAAATCCGCATGTATGTCTACGTTATTCCTATCTTCCTCTAGACGACGAATCTTTTCTTGTAGATCATTATGAATGCAATCCCAGACTAAGCCTTTCTCACTTTCGAAATTTTGAAAAGCGGCCAACTCTTCTGCTAGGAATTTATTCTGGATATTTTGTAATCTATATTGCTTTAATATTCCAGCCACTTCTGTTTTCGTTTTCATGTTTTCTTTTAGCCGTTCCAGTGGTATTAGATATTCCTCAGATTTTCCAACACGAACTTCACCGAGCTTTGTGTCCACTTGTGTAATTCTTTCTCGATATAATCTAAAATAACATTTGTTAAAACACATATTGATATTGTATTCCTTTAAAAAAAAATGTTTATTAGAGTATAATATATAAAAAAGCTAAATATATAATATGTGTGTACTTACTGTTCCTTAAGTAGAGTAAATTGTCTTTCCAAGTCCAACAAATTGTCCATACATTCATTGCGTCTCCTCTCACATTCGTCTTCGTCCATTTCTGACGAGTCATCGCTGTCAGTATGTTCTGGGCTACTGTCACATGATCCAGAACTCTGATTACTTTCGTTACTGTCATGAGACATCTCTTCCCCTTCACCTTCTGATTCATCCTTAACGCTTGGCATTTATACTATAAATAAAAAGTTCGTTTACTTTGCAAAAAGTATTTAATTCGTAATGGAAACGCATATCTTTTATTAAAGGAACATGAGTCCCCATAAAAATTTGTTATTAATTTCAGAAAGTTTTGAAATTTTCAACTATATAAAAAATTATAATACTTGAATTGGTATATATATTGTATAATAATTAGCCTATATAAATAGAATAAAACTATCAATAATAAAAAAAATTGTGAAATATAAAATCATTTTATATCAACACTGTTTAAAAATTAGGAAAATATCCCAGGATTATTAGAATCCATATATTCCATTACGAGTTAAATAAGGCATTTTATTGATAGATGTTTAAAAAAAATTTTGAGAAAACTCTGGATATCGAGTTTGTGATGAAAACATATTTAAATAAAGTAAAAATATGATTGATCTTCTATATCATAATCTTAACGATTTCAAGTTTTTGTATTTTTTTTACATATCTAAAGATATACGTTTCTACATTGGAAGATAAATATATTTTAAATTTAAACAAATATCCGGTAGATAAGAATTAAGAAAATTCATAACATAACCTATACAAAAACAATTAAGTTTATGTCTAAGTGTGATCGGAGTAAACGGAATTATGGTTCAATTTTGATATATCTAGTTTTTATAGGAAATAATGCTTCATATTTTAACGTTACATATTTAATTACACACAATGGAATTATTCGCGCCCAATTAAGTGATAGGTTAACTCCAAGGCATTTACTCCAAAGATAGAACTTAATGAAGCTTCGAGTTTCCAAAAAATGTTTTATCCCATCTCACGAATATCTAAAGTCTAAATCGAGCGAAATTCTTACCGTAATTGTCAATACACTTACTTATATGATGTTATACTTATATGATCGTCGATGTAACCTTTCGATCTGTTTGTGGCTCGATTCGGCAGACGCTAACAGCTGGCACTGGCAGACGCGCGCCACAATGACAGAATATTCTTGTGCTCCTCATACCAATGGCATAACAAGGAAAAAGAATGCTAGATTGAAATGTTTGCAGCTGATCTTATTCGATCTTTATTAGATTTTCTGCATTCAATAGACCAATATATCATTGTAAAAAAATTATTAAAAAAATATATTTTTTCTCTTTTGTTTAAAATACATAGGTGTTATCTGTAGAGAAAACTTGAGAAAATGGCTAGTTCTATATTTTGCCTGTAGATGACGCTAAGATTACAAAATGGTGGAAATCAAGAAATAAATTTTTTTTATTTTCCCTGGTTTACCCTCTGATGATAAACTGATTAGTTTTCAATTATTTAATCAATTATTCATTTATTAAGTAATACTTTTTAGAATATTTGCCTTTTGTCAAGAGGATATTTTTTTTAAACAGAATATTATTTATAATTTTTTGAAATGTGACAAAATTTGAACCTTCTGAATTTCTTCTAGTTTATATTCATGAAAAGCTATAATAATCAAATGATATATTTTAAATATATCTAAAAATTTTGCTATAAACATTTGTGACAATTGAATTAATCATCTATTAAATTAATCAGAGTTTAAGTTTTCATCCCTATAAATTAAACCAAAATTAATCTATGTACATTGAAATAGATTAATGCACAGACTTAAATCATTTCAATTTAGTTATTGCAATTTACACAACAATAAAAAATGTAAACAAAGGCATAACATTTTCTTATTTTTACAAGAATAAATTCTTTCTTCTGTTGCACTAATGCAGCAAATATGCTACCGATTGCTCGAGTTAGATTGAAAAAGGATATAATTAAGATAAATTAAAAGATTTAAAACATATAAAATTAAAATTATTTTACTTACTGGAAAAATTGGGAAAAGCGGGAAAATTCTGTATGCCTCACGGGAGGATCGTAATATATATAGATATATATTATATATATTTTGATATATAATACTCCATCGGATACAATAATACATCTGGATCTGTATGGAACAAACAGTTAGACAATGCAACATTCGCATAACTGCAAGGTATACTAGCAATTTTTTTATATCTCATATATATTCATATAATAATATATATTTCTCTCTCGTGTGGTGTGCTTTCTGCGCGTTTCATGAAGACTTTCGGTTAGATAGGTCTTTCGATTTCTGCGAGAAAAGAAGGTACAGCTCGTTTTTGTGCATTTTGTTCCGTACGAAATATTTTTTTTTCGTTTTACAATATTCTCCGTTTTTTTTTTCGTTTTTTTCCCTTGTTATATCGCTTCAAACCCCGCCGCACGCGGGACGTGGTGCAGTTGTGATCGCACATTATTTTGCTTCCTAGTAGCCCTAAATCTTCAGGATAAAGTGTAAAATGCCCGGAGTGTCCTTCGAGGACGCGACCAGGTCGACAAATATCTCTATTTACCCATACGTGATCGATCTCGAGAATCTCGATGAGAAACGTGAGAGGAAAGATACCAAAATTATTTCCGTAGAACCTCTGCGCAATGTCGATTTCGTATTTATTCTCACAAGCTTATTTTCTTGCCGGATAATATAAATTATGTTTTTTGATTCGTCCCGATTTTTCCTCGTTCATTTATTTTCCCATTCATCGTTGTAAATATATACTCTTCTGCCAATTTCCCCTCCTCTTGCTTTATCGCTGAGAGCTATCGCCCGATTGCACCAGTTTGATACTCAAACGATCGATATTGTTTGCCACGAAATTCGATGCCCGACACGAGTCCTCGAGTTACACTTCGATGACGAAGAAAGAATGAAAGGGCGCTCGGTGTGGTCCGCGATCCTTTTCGTGCGGCGACGGTTTTACACGGACTCTTAATATTCATTTCATGCAACATTTATCGTGGCGCGATCGCGGTTCGCCGGGGAAAAGTCGCGAGCTCCGAACGACTTCGTGATATCCCGCTGATATCGTGTAATAACTGAAATGCAAATCATCAGCGAGGTAAATGCACCATTGAATGACCGCTTAGGCATATCGCTTCAGCTCAATCTCTTTCTTTCCTTCGTTGAGTGAAAATAAAGTTATCGTCACACAGATATTTTTCGAGATATTTCTCTCAAATATTTGATATTTCATTGGATTTTACGCGTGAAAGTAATTTGGAATTTATAACGAAAGAGAGAAGAGATGAACTGATTTTGTAAGAAAATGAGAAAGTTCTATGAATTATTACTTTGATCTATCACACTAAAATCGAGGTAAGTATGTAACAACCTTGGATTAATAGCACAAATGCGATGCTCAGATAAAATCAACATTCATTTTTTAATAACGTCGTATTAATTATTAATTTTATGGAACATTTTTGTGCTATTTTCAATTATATCAGCCCGCTAATTATTTTCTAAGAAAAAAATATTCCCCATATGATAATTAATAATATTTTTTCTTCCGGAAAAAAATGTAATCGCTTTACTTTAAAGGGCTTTCTATAATAACATTACCTAAGTCTTAAATTTTAATCCGTAAGAAACTGTCTGATTACAGTCGAATATGAGAATAATCGACCGTTTTGGTTATAATTAATTTTTTTTAAACAATAAAAATTTAAATAAGAAAACGCCCAAAGGCGAGCTAAAAGCTAAAACACTAGATAAAAGAATATTAATTGAATTTAATATATTAAATTTAACTATTGAATTTAATGTATTGAATTTAGTAAAGTAAAGGAATTTAGTGTATTGAATTTAACTATTATAATTTAATATTTTAATGTATTGAATTTAATTATATTAAAAAATCGCGAAACTAGTTTTGACTTACAAAGTTTTTATCAGTTGCATATAAATAAATAATAAATTATAACATAATCTCTATATATACGAAATAAAAACTGTTAAAATAATAAAAATAATAGTCACGCTAGTTATGATGTAAATATTCAGCAATGTTATTTTTGTTTGATTAATTTCTTACGACTTTGAAGGTAATACTTTATCACTTAGGTAATACTTTATCACAGAAAGCCCATCACGGTAGTAAGCATGTATTCAGTGAACATCTATTAATTAATTATTCAGTAGTGTACATACCGTACAATGAATTAAAGAGAAAATTGAAATAAAACATTGGACTGAGAAAAAAATTCGGGCAAAAAATAGCTCCCTCTTGTACGTCATATAAACAAATTATACAGTAATACCACGTCTAAAATTTATCCACGCAATTAGCGTATGTATAAACATAATCGACTAGCTTGTTATATTAGTCGTGTAATTTGTTGACCTACAATTTATTTGAGATAAGATGATTTCGCCTATTCAAACAATTTCTTTTTCTCTCAGTAGGATAATCACGACGAAGGTTTACGAACCTCGGCGACGATAGGATATCGCGAACCGCGGAAGCGCTAATTATCTTACCTAATTTGTTGATCGATTTTAGTCTCGGTGAGAGTAAGGATGCGCACACATCGTTCGTCGTGGTTGCAACATTCGTTTGAAATCGTGTCTCGCGATGTTACGCACCCTCTTGTTCGCGATTTTTTTATACATATATATATATATATATATATATTCTCCGTTTTTTTTTCGCTATTGAACACACGTATTCTTTCTCCCTGAGGCAACGTATTCGCCGTTCCCGGCGAGCACAGAGCGACCGCGGTAACGTGACATGATGGATCGCGTTCTCGAATTTAAATACCCTCTCTTGTATTTAAATACCCTAATGATAGAATACTTTGACGATAGCAACATTCTTTCTGAGCATACAAAACGTTAGTGTCGCATCAAGATGAACAGTAATCTAAGATGAGAGTACGAAAAGCTGCAACGTTCACTGTATTTACGAAAGCGAGAGCGAGAGTGAGAGCGAGAAAGAGAGAGAGAGAGAGACTCCCTATTAGAGACTTCTTGCCATAGCGTGTTTCGAACACGTTAAATATTAATGTCGCGCCAAAGTCGCGTGTGGGGCGAATGATAATTTAAGTCCAGAATGGAAATTGCCGTTTTGCGCGGAACGTGGGAGTTCCGTGCGCTTGGCGTCTACTCGAAGTACGGTATCGCAAAAACTTCCTGTCTTCGTTGGAAAATCGATTTTCGCGACACGCTCGTTATTTATCGTCGTTTATCGTCCCGTAGGAAGTTTCTCTGCGCACGACGGTTAGTTTGATTATTCGTGGTACGGCGGTTAACAAAGTTAATGACTGATAGGGTGACCGGTAATATGTATCGTTCTAAAAGGGAGCGGCATAGTTAAACGCATCGCCAAAGGAAGGGGCAAAGTTAAGTTTATCGTCTTTTTTTCTTCCTCACGATGCAATTCGCCTTTGTTCATCGCCGGGTCGCTAATGATCATTCTTGATTAAAAGGAGAAACGCGGACAAAACCTCAGACAAGTAGGACGCTATTCTTGGTTCTCCACCTCTTTTACGCGGAATCGAGTCTTGACATTTTCCGAATGCGTTCGCGAACGATTCTAAAACAATAAATGTCTACTAGGTAACTCATCTTTAAATATACTATGGGATTTTAAGCCGTATGCAGAGTGCCCTAATAATGTGCTCTATTTTGGTAGCAAACGCGGAGACATTGCGATGGCAGTTATTAGCATGGAAATAGCGTACTGTAACGCGACTGCGCGTGATCAAGCATTAATTTTTCTGCACTCGAAACATTTACGCTTTTTTCCAACAAATTTTCTTCAATTGCTTATGAAATTAGAATAAATGTAATATGCAATTTGCGTGATGATGGAATTATCCCTACGCGGTAATATTCTAATCCTTTATTATACACACGATGGTCGTGTCCTGGATTAATTTTCATCACTTTTACAGTAAGTATGTAAACATTAAGTGGTTCTTTCATACCTTAACACTAGAACTGTCAATGGTGTCATTTTGGCTTCGCTAATTGTTTCATTTTTTTTTCTTTTCTATTCAGATATATAGTTCAGAATAATAAAAATACGTAAATATAACATGAACAATTTTAAAAAATAATACCAATATAACTTTTCACTAATCGAACATAAAGGAAATTATTAAATTAGTATCTTCAGCAACTTTAGCGACTTTACCATCGGCAATTCTAGAGTGTTAACATCTTTAA